GGGCTATATATCGTCTTATTGGGCTATATCGGGTTATCGGGATGTATCGTTATCCAGAAATCAAACCCTATTTTTACAATAACTTACAAATTTCTCGCGCGCTGATTGGTCATTTCTTATTATCAATAAGAGGACAGACAGATAAAGCTGACGTCAACGAGCGCGCGCTCTTTCCGTTGGTTGTTTTGATCGCTAAAAATGAGATGTTTTTATCGTTTTTGTTATTGTAAAAAACAAATTGACATCAGATTTTTTATGTGTCTGTCCTCTTATTGACAATAAATTTCGCCATCACATTGTCAAAGTAGTATGCGGATCCACACTACTTTGACAATGTGATGACGCAATTTATTGTCAATAAGAGGACAGACACATAAAAATCTGATGTCAATTTGTTAAGTACACCGGCCCAGAGCTCGAGAGGCCAGTTGGCTACCACTACACCACCCTTGATTCTCTATTTATTGTTTTATTATACTTTAATAGTCGTTTCGTTTCCTTCTTTCTCACTTCTTTTTTTCTTTCAGCTTGTCAAGATAAATACCAGTTGTGTAAAAAGTGGTCAGCAAGAGGAGAATGTAAAGCTAACGAAGCATGGATGAAGAAGAATTGTCCAAGAAGCTGTGTTTGTGGGCGTAAGTAAGAACACGTGACTTTCCATAATGCAAAGTAGAATCCTTGAGCCTAATATATTTTTGATTTCCTTTGAATTCACAGCTTTTGCAAACAATGTAATCACCTCCAAAGAATGTAAAGACTCCAATACGGTTCAATGTCCATTGTGGGCGAAGCGTGGAGAATGCGAAAAGAACAAAATCTATATGCATAAAAATTGTGCAAAGAGCTGCAAAATCTGCAAAGGTATTACATTTAGAAATATTAAGAATGATGCCATATTTTCGGCCTTTGCTTAGTAGAAAAGATTATTGACAACATAACAAATTTTTGCGAAAGAATATATATCATTCACACATTAACTTTATTTAACAGAGAATATTCAAAATTTGGGTACATAGAGTAGAAAACCAAACAAGTTGTATGTTTTTCATGAAGCTTGGGTTTAAGCTTATTTTCTAGTCTACGTGTCTACACAGCTTTTGAGAATCAAAGATTATTCAAGATAATGTATTTCATATTCCTCCTCCATGTGCATCCCTCTGGAGAAAATTTGAAATTTTCTTAGTTTTTATTGCCTCAGCCATTCTTAGCTCCATGCAAAGACAAACACATTGACTGCCCAAAATGGGCTTTAAAGAGTACAATGAAGAACAAAAAATGGATGCAAGAAAACTTCGAAAAGAACTGCAATGTTTGTGTTGGGTGAAGGTCATCTTTATCACGCGAGTCAAGATTATGACGTAATTTATCCCTATTATAAAGGTGGAACAAAGATTTTTCTTGTTGTTCTCGTTTCAGTGTGTGCTGACAACAACCGAAAGTGCAGTAAGTGGGCTGAGATTGGCGAATGTAAAGCTAACCCGGCCTACATGCATGTCAACTGCAAGAAAAGCTGCAACAAGTGCGATGCGTAGTGATATGCAATAAATATATGTATTTTTGATGATTTTTATCAAGTTAAATAATTTACAGCTTGCGTGATCCCACGACAGCAGCCATCTTGGATGGGTAGCAAATGACTGAATATCTTTTTGTATACAGTCAATTCAAAATGCGTTTTAATTGAACGGCTCAATACTGCCCACTCGCCAGCAAAGGGTCCGTCACGTAAACCCGAGGTGTATCTACTGAATCACATAAGATTATGCAGTCAACTGCTTTAGTGATTTATACCCATAGTTCCTTGCGGTCCAGTCACGTGGACTTGAGTTGGTCTTTCTTATGCAAAATGGCACATTGTATTGCTTCTGCCTTTATAATTACGTATATCTGTTGGCACGTGTTTCGTTCAATTTCCTTCTTAACTTAACTAATTAATTATTATTAAGTATCTGATTTATGTATAAAGCATTTCTAGGGCCATGACGTTTCGATGCATTCTATGTAATTTCTCTCGTTTTTAAGATTAAAATGGTTTATTAAATTGAATAATTTCAAACATTTAAAAGTAAAGTCCACGCATCACCAACGTCGTCGTCGTCGTTGTATTTATACATGAAATTATCTTTTACTGAACTAAACTTGGTGATCAAGAGAAAAATAAACAAGCCCAAACCTGACATCCAAAATGGAGTTTTTCCCGAGGGGGGTACTCCCTTATATTCACTATACGGGGACGTTCCGCCAAATAGGGTATGGTTTTTTGCCTTCACGTCTTGAATAGGGTATAAAATTTACCGTAAGTTGTCTTGAATAGGGGTGTACTTTCTATGTATACTATGTCTTGTACAGGGTGTCAATATTCAATTTAATAGAACGTACCAGATATGTCTATATCTAAAGCGAACATCAAATTGTCGCTCTATGAATTCGCCAGGAATTATATACTATTTATTTCTGAAAGTACCATAGAATCTTTGGAAGTGAGACTATCAACATGAGGTATCCAGAAAAACCTTTATTTACAAAAGGGAGGATCAAAGGATGGATTAGCATTTAAAAATGGCCACAATTGATGTAAATTAAAAACATAAATTAATAATTTCTTGTACTCTTAAAAACAAATCTTAAAATCTGTGATTTGTAACTATCTTTGAATAATATTATATTATTTTTCACTTGCACCTTCTTACGTTTTATACGAAGAGCAGCAAGCAGAAATTTTCAAGACTTTCAACATTCCCACTTCTATTCTTCGATTGCACGTTGGTGCATTTAACATAAGGTTTCTTATTAGCATTGCACCACAATAGCCGCCATGCTTTTGTGTTTTAATTCTCTTGGAAATGCTTGCAACCAATCAATAACTGCGCGCATGCATGAAGATATTTTAGATAGGTATACTAGAATCTAAATTCAACTTGTGTTTTCAATTTCAAGGTACATTTCTATCTCAGTTTTTTATCTTTTCAGTTTAGAGTAATTTTCATAAGAATGAAATAAGCAATAAGAAGACAAACTGCAGTCTTCGGCTAAAATTACTAATATTGAACAATACTTTATCATGTGATTAATACTCACTATATGTTGTTGTAATGGTGCGGATATGAGACCAACCAACCATGCCTTCTGACTTTGGTGTCCTTTCGATTCCGTTTATCCAACATAGTATAGTTAAATTGAAACTCCTCGTCGTAATGTTCAGCTATCGACAGCGGAGCAGAATAAACATGCCAGAGAACGTATGTTGTGGAAGAAATGAATATTTAGCTTCTTTCCTTTCCTAAAGCTTCCGAAACACGGCATACTTCTGAACCGCGTGTCATTCTTTTGGGAATACATTTCGCATCGCATAAATGAACGAAAAATACTCAAGGGAATGACTTATCTGAAAAGATGAAGCATTGACGCTCTAAATGAACTGCCTATTGTGAGGATGAAGTGAAAACCTCTGTGGCAATAGCGTTTTAATATTATGTAAAAAAAAATTAAACCAATACGAAAAATCAGAACTCGAAAAATGTTAAGGGGTGGTTGGATGAAACGATACATGGATGGATGGATGGATGCCGGATTGATCGAGTTATTTCTAGTATTCTTTCAATTTCTATTCTTTCAATTTCAGCTGTAGATATAATATAGTTTGCACTAATGGTAGTACAGGCTACTTTGACATAGCTTTTGATGCTTTGCACCGCCACGTGTGGCAGCCATGAGGAGGCACAACAACATATTCTTTTTCGGCAGACAGACAGTCAGATCGATAGCTTGTCTAGCCTTGCAGCTTAATTTTAAATTGTTGAATAACCAAACATTCATATAGCTGATAAGAATTAAAGTGCCACAACGAGATAACGAAAATGTGTTATAATTCTGAATGCAAAACTATTCTTTAAAAGTTTACTGCAAACTCTCAAGCCTTTCCCCTTTTCTACAATAAGAAAACGTACCTTCCCTTAACCATAATGCTTTTAAACAGCATAAATTATTGCTCTTCTGGCCCTTGCACCAATAATAGAAATTCCTACTTCAATCATTCCCCAAAAATAGTATTTTTGTTCGCTTTTCTATCAAATTCTAATCCATATTTGGAAAGCTTACCTTATTCATAAGTACTGTTGGTGGTTTTTAAGCGATTTAAAGCTTTGAATTGTCGAAAATATCAATTAAACTTGCAGATATTACAGCGATGAAAATATTGGACATTGTCCTTCATCGTCCACCATCTTGTATTTAGCTTAGAAACCTGGCATTTGACAAAGGAATCCCAAAAATAAAAACACAGGGAACCCGGGCATTGCTGTTTGCATGTTTGGTAACTACTGTCAAGGGCACTACGACACCGAATGTGCTTGGATAGTTTTTTTCCTTTCGATTATTTTAATTAAATTAACGTTATACTTGTTTACTTATCTTGTGTCCGTGTTCCTTCGTTCGCTGTTGTAATGCAGACGTTTTCATTCCAAAGGTCAAACGGTTTGAATAGCCTATTTAACGGCCGTTCCGTACTTGAATCTGTTGGTGCTATACCAACAACTTAATTTAATTCAAATAATCGAAAGGAAAAAACCTATAGAAATCCAACCACATTCGGTGTCCTAGTGCCCTTGCTACGGTATTTGAATGTGTGGAAAACTACTCGTGCCGACGTCTCCGAGGTCGCAGAAAAATAAATAACTCATGTTGTCCCCTCAAAGAAATATAATGGATTTGAATTCGTTTTGGCATGGTGGGGCACTGTATAAAAATATAACTGGCTCCATTCTTAGTAATTTTCTCTCAGTTGGGTGCACTTGGATAAACTATGTACGAATGAATTCATTATAAAAAAATAAATTTTATTCGCAAACATTCTTTCGTTATTCGGGGATACTATTAAGGACCAAAAAACAAGTGATATTTGTCGGGAAAAAAAAAAAAAAAATGAAGAAGAAGAAGAAGTTGGAGAATAAAAGAAAAAAGTAAACTGATAAAGATAGATTGAAAGAGTTTTTCGTTGCAAGACTGGGTTTTTTGTATCTTCCAAACTGCACTGCCTCTGTTCTGCTTCTCGGTCTGTTGCTCGTATATGGAGCCATAAATATTAAAACTTTTGCCAACTTTTTTAATTACGATAAATCATCGTTCAAAAAGCACGCAAACTTGTGCTTGCAAGTACGATATCACTGAAAACCTTTGTAAAGAGAAAATAAAGATAAAACGTAAAATTTTCAGTCTCGAACTCGAAGTCCCCAACGTCTCACTTTGTTGACACATTGTTCTACTTGACCGGTTCTAGTTTAAATCTGTGTTGACATACAAAGCTATTATATTACTAGTAGCGTCCCTTTTAACGGTTGCCTTTCAAACTGAGAAGACGCCGAAAGGAGCGCCTAAACTCGCATGGCCAGAAAAAGATACTCTGCTAAGATGAGTTCTTATTTGGGGATATTTGTAATTCTGAGCCTTTTTTTCTGTGGGTTTTCCACAGCCAAGCCAACAACCGACAGAACCGATATTAACATTGTATACGATGCGATCAATGAAGGTAAGTTGTGTATGTCCATGTATACAATCCGAGTTAAACAAATGAAGGAATGTAGTACAGAACTTTACATAGTTGCAGTATTTTCAAAAATTTAATAAACCACCACAAAAATTACCTCATTCGTATGTCACAATTAAAAAAACTATAACATACGAGAAGGGATTTTTCTCATGAAGTAGTTCATGAATGATTTTATAAATTTTGCTCTCTGTCACGTGTGAAAAGGTCAGTACTAGTCGTCTATTGTACACAGTCTACACAAGGTTTTCCTGAAAAATATCGATGGATGATCACGCGAAGATCAGTATTAAATCACAAAAGATCTTCATCTATTTTGTTTTATATCTTATGATTTCTGTATGATCATCCAAGTTTATAGCAAACTTTGATACTAATCATGATCACCGGCTACATGTTATGAAGTTTTTGAAATTCTCATTTCCATACTAACATCAACGTACTTGATTAGGTGAAGGACAAAGTTTAGCGGGGGAAAATATTGTGACTATGAAGCCTGCTGAAATCGAACAACGTTTTTCTTGTACATATAGTTTATAAATTATAATTAACAGCATTCATATAGCGACCACTCATTTATTACAAAAGGGGGGTGGGGGATGAATTGGAGAAGTAGCATTATCTTGACAAACGAACAATGCAGCCTGCACAATGAAGCCAATAGTATTGCTGTTTGAAGTGAGAAATATTTTGACAACAAATTTAAATTCTAACTTATTACATGTGGTACAAAATTATCGCACAGCATGATGCACTTTTGAAACGGTCTTACGGTCGCATTAAATAGACACTTTGCTGCTGCGTTTGTTTAGTGCATCTCCTGAATGGATACGAGCTAAAATGTCTTTTATGTCCAATACTTAACATCCAGTACTTTGTATCTACTGGATGGAGTATGGTTGTCACTCTGAACTGAGCAATGAAGCATAAAGACGCTCGGCTGTTATACRGCGTAGTCACTTAGATCTTTACGCTCGAATGAAAATCATTCAACTATTTCAAAGTTGATAAACATTCCTAAAGAAATAGCTTTATGATAAGAAAGGAATCAGGCCATGCTGTGCTTTATCAGTGATATCTTCAAGGATCGCAGAGTTTATTACGTTGGATTTTACATATGAAAAAGGGGAGGCAGGGATGAGGAGAGGCAGGGATGAGGGGAGGCAGAGATGAGGTGAGGCAAAGAAACGTGAGACGGGGAGAGGAGACTGAAAGGGAAAGAGAGGAGAGAAGAAGAGAAGACAGGAGAAGAGAAAGAGAGAAATAGAACGTTTACTCAATTCCAGCCCCACTTAACATTTTTTTCCTTTTTCAAAAGAATTTGAAAARCACAAAGTTGGCGTCCAAGACTCTTCCAAAGACCTAGGTAAAATAATGATTCCAAAGACATCTTTGCTTGTAATGGCATGCTAGACGACAGTGAGGGAAATAGATGTATTTATGTAAAGGGATGGAAATGCGGGTTGCTATCCAATCCTTTCACCTCTCTTGATACAGTCCAGTTGAATGCATGGATTATGGTAATTTTGTCATTGACCATTTTAATTTTACAGAGTCTCAACAAGTAAGCGAGGATCCTGAGATCCTGGAAATTGCCAACAGAGGTAAGTGTCTTTGAACTAATATATTCAGACAAAATATACTGGTTAATAATGGGAAATAAAAAATCTAGTTGAAAAATCGTACTTGCCATTGTGGTTATAACGTAGCCAATCAGTCGGCAAACTGTGAGAGAGAATTCATGCATGCCCGTGCTAATCAAAGCTAGATCTACTTTTTTTAAGTATTCTTAATTTTTAAAGTATTTCAAGAAATTTCCATGGTTTTACAGAATACGAGACAGTGCACGGTAGGATTCTGGCTGTAAACATGGCTCACTTGGAGAAGAGGAAAAAGGCTCTGAGAGATCAGGAAACAAAAAGATCGAAGGAACCGGATGTTTTTGAGAACATCGAGAAGGATAACGAAGGTTAGTGTAGTATCCATAGCAACTAATCATGTATGATAATTAGC